ATAATGATATCCTAAGAGCCAGCAAAGACCATATATTTTCCAGTGAATTTCTCAGGATAAATTTTAGTTGCATAATGAGGAGTTTACCTATAAATTCACTCTGTGAGATAAGTGGGATTTAGGGCAAGTTTGAGGCAGAGTTCCTGAGCCTGTCAGCTTCTCAGGACTACACTGAAATTTTCTAGTAAAATGCTCAAGAGATGAGAAGAGTGAGCCTGCAGATAGGTGGTGCTATGGGAAGGAGGGACAAGGAACAGAAAAAAGCAGGGTGACACCCACAAATGAAATGGTTTTGATTCCTAAATTGGTAGTGGCCTCTCTTCAAGCACATGAGCTATCAGTTGGGTCTAGCAATTTCTGTATCTGATCTGTAGCTGGCAATATTCTTAAGCCTGTGCACTTTGAACTATCACTGGAGAGTAGAAGAATGCTTGTAAAACATGTTGAGGAGAGCTTTTTTAAGGCAGTAATAATCAAAGGCCTGCTGTTTGAAATCTGCTGTTAGAAACCTGACCCTTATGAATAATGGAGTCTAGGCAGCAGCTGTAATAGTGACTTGAATAATGTCTTTTTTACTGACTGGTAAGATTTGGAAACGACATGTCAAAGAATGGCCTTGATTTTGGGCAGTTCACCTTGCTAGATGATTTTTCGTGAAGGTATAATCTCAAGATGTCTGTGCTTCTCAGTGAGAAACCTCTTAAAAGAGGCAGAAAAATAAACAGTGAATTAGAAGCAGTGAGGCTTTGCTTGTGGTTTGGAGAGCTTTATGGTAGTTCATAAAGGTGGATATCTGCATGAATACACAGTTGTGTGACTTTTGGTGTCAGCTGCAAAGCTAAACTACAAGAGAGTAAATACAGCATTTGAAATGCATTCTGCTCCTATTGTGTTTCTCTCTGGAGATTTTGCTTGTGATTTCTCTGTCAAACGTGAGATTTGTGGATAGTAAAACTAATACCATCCCTGGGTCTCAACAAGCTTTTTCTGTAGTCCCGAGTTTAGGTTGGATGGTGCTGTAGGGCCAGCATACCTTCATGGAGCTGTGAATAGCTTTGCATAAAAGGTAGGCAGGACAGAGAGGGATTATGTTCCTTTGTTGACCTACAGCATGCCAAAGGCTGACATTCCCTGAGTGCTGGTAGGCTTTGCACCTGGCTTCATGAGCCAGATCCCAAGCTCAATGAGATGACTGGAAAGACTGGAAGGGAAAGGGTGGTGTCAACCACAGCCCTCTAGAGGGATCCACTGCTTTGAAATGAAGTCTCTCCCATTCTCCTTAAGCAATGAAACCTCAAGACTAGGACAGATCTCATCTTCTAAGCCAGGTGTTTTCAGTATGTGCAGCTCATCATGCAGTGATGCATGAACTGCTTGGAGCTGGTGGTTGTGGCTGGGCTGTGCCGGTCCTACTGGTCACTGCTGACCTTTTCTTCTAGGAAAATGGCTTTTAGGATAGAAACCCTACAAGCAGCACTTCCACAAACAGCTGCATTTTGGTACAGCTCTGACCCCCAGTACCTGGCTCCTGGTATCTGCCATTGCCAAGCAAATCATAGAATCATGATAGAACCGTTAGGGTTGAAAAGGACCACAATGATCCAACCCCCTGCTATGTGCAGGTCACCAACAGCAGACCAGGCTGCCCAGAGCCACATCCAGCCTGGCCTTGAATGCCTGCAGGGATGGGGCATCCACAACCTCCTTGGGCAACCTATTCCAATGTATCACCACCCTCTGATTGAAAATAGCCTTCTGTGGTTCATTTTGGAAGTATTTACTGGGAAATCCATTGTGTTTGTTGTGGCTCTTATGCTGCTGAGTGTGCTGGGAGCATTTTACCTGTGGGAGAGCAGACCATTGGATTTTTATGGGTTGTATGAAGAAAGTGAACTGTCAGGATGAAATATCTGAAAGAGGAGACCGAGTGAAATTATGAAATAAGTATTGATTCAAGAAGGCCTATCTTTACAGGTGGAATTCAGTTAAAGCATAAGGTAAATAGATTCTCAAGACAAAAAACCTCTGCATTTTCAGCATCACAGCACTTTCTTGAAGTAAAAACTACTCCTCTAATCATATTGCCATAAATTAAAAAGTGGGAAGTACCAGATGTGAAAACTGTAACACAAATGAATGAACACAGAAGATTCAGAAGAAAGAATAATGTTGCCTTGCTCCTTGACTTCCTTCTTGGTGACCAAGCTGTTATTTATATCAAAGTATTTTTGTTTAATGGTCATTGCTCCCTAAGGAGCAAAGAGTCAACAGCAGTGCAGTCTGTAGGGTGTTTTTTAAAGTTATTTTTTTTGGAAGGCTAAGAAGATATGGAATTAATATTCTGGTATTAAATGTAAATATAATTTTGTGGTCTAAAAGGAAGAATTTATGGGAGCTACAATTTTTTTTTGAAGGTATGTTGGATTACATGTGGAACACTAACAGAATTATGGCAGCTGCTGTACCGGAGAGGGCATTAATGGTGAAGTGAGAGTGTTCTGTCAGTGGCTTCACAGTGGATTCACTTCAGTGATGAAGTGAATCTGTTCTATGTGGAGACTATTCAAGTCTTTATAGAGAGCACTGGGTAGAAATAACTACAGTACATCGGGGTCATATCTACATACAGATATGGGCTCTCCCCCTCCGTTTCAAACTCAGTGTTGTAGCCCAATTTCTGACCACCAGGAATGGCCTGCTGTCCCAGTGGGATTTGGGGTGTTGGTCACCTGTAGTGACTGGAGAATCCCACCTTTCACTTTAGGAACTACAGGAGTCGCTTTTATGATTTACTTTGTATCTTTCAGAACAATTTCATAACAGAGCTTTCAGACGTTTGGGATTTCAGTCCTGCCAGTGTGACACCTTCTTGCTCTTCCTGCCACATGTCCCACCACGTGGATCTTAGCTGTGGGTCTCAGGGGAGCAAACACAGTGTGCAGACAGCGCTGTGTTTCAGAGATTGACCTTAGGACACCTGTATAGGGTCAAAGGCCTGAATGGAGAAATGAGGCAATGACTCCACTCACTTGCAGCAGCAGGCCTCACTGTCCAGGTGTGTGGGGTGTGTGATGGCCATAAGGCTGAGAAGTGGGGCTGACATTCATCCTGGCAGCATCTCTTTTCATAAGGATGAGTTCTCGACTAGCTTTTCTGCTGCATTAAGTACAGTATGCTTTTCTTCGTTGCTGACACTGGCTGCTGTGTATTCCCAAGTTCCAGGAATGCACTGGCAGCATTGTAGCCATTGTAAGGAAAATCCATGTGCATACACTCTGCTATGTCCGTGCTGCTGGGTTCCAGGGTGCCTAGTAAAAGCTGCCAACATTTGTGTTATTTCATACCAGAGGAAAACTGTGATCGTGGTATTTAGCAACATACAGCAAAATTCTCAGTGCTTTGGCACTCAGCTGGCTTTCTGAATCTTGGCACACTGAAAGGTAAAGAACGTGCCTCAGGAACTGTTTTATTTGTATGGACCCATTAAGCATTTTAACATATGGATCGTCTCCTATAAAATACATGAGGAAAATGCACAAAATAAACAGGCCAGAGCTTTGCACTGCCACAGGGAGACCCACCTGCCTCCGTGCTTCCATGGTGTCTTGCTTTTGCCTGGGCTTTGTGGTGCTTCCCTTCCTTCAGAGGGGTTGGCTCTGCTCTGCCCCATGGCTGGAAGGTCCTTGGGTGCAACCTAACCCTGCTGGGCAGGGGAGCAGCCCTTGGATAGCTGGGGCTTTCAGTGGAAAAGGGATGAACTGTTACAGCCTCGAGGTGGAAGAGGGAAAGGAACACTGGTGTGTTTTATTTGATACAGGGGGAAAGCCAAGCCGTGGCTTAATTTCCATTTGTTAGGTAACAGTATAGCTTGAAATGAGCGGATTTCTAGGTTACTGGAAAGTAAACAGGCTGCTTGATGTAGCCGTATAAATTCTGGATAATGGCAAGTGCATATGCTTGTGCTGGAAAGCAGAGCTAACACACAGTATGAGAGAACACAAACAAGCCTCAGTGCAGCCACTTGAATGGCCAAGTGCTCATGGGCAGTGTCACAGACCGAGCAGAGATGGGGGCAATCTACACGTGCTTTTTGTAGGGTACCAGCTCACCTTGTTCAGGTACACTGAGCTAGAATGTATCGGTTGTGTTACAGAGAGATGGAAACTAGATTCCTGCGTTGGGGACACTGTGCACTGTGCTGACAGCCCTGACAGCACAGAGGACGAGAGGTGAGCAACGCTGTGCTTGGACTGAGCTGTGGATGCAGGCAGAAAGCAGCCTTCTGCTCCGCTCTTGGAGCCCAGCCCTGTGCTGCAAGGGCTGCCACAGGGATGGATTCAATTATACTGCAAGCTTGATTGCTAAATGTTCAGCTGGGAAACCATACAAACTCTATTCAGACTTGATTCCCAAAGTTCTGCAAAATGAGCTTGCAAGTGTTTTATTTTCATTGTTACTGAATATATATGATCGTTAAAGCACACCTTTTAAGCGGGATGGAGGAGCTTGTAGTAGAATGGCTTGGATTAGAAGGGACCTCGTTCAGTTTCAACTTTAGCAAGGTTAGCGGCCGATAAATCAACCACTGGACCGGGCGCCCAAGGCACCTCCAGGGCGGCAGGAGAGGAGGCGGTGGTGGCCGGGGCTCTTCCCTCGGGTGCCGGCAGGAGGCGCTCTCGGCCGCCCGATGGAGCCGCCGGCCCCGAGCACGCGTCCCGAGCGCCCCGCGCGGTGCCCGTGCCCGCGGGGTTCGGGGTGGCGGCGGGGCGGCGCTCCTTCCCGGGCGCTCCGCGGGCGACGGCGGGGAAGCGGAGGCCGGGCGCGGGGATCGGCGGGGCCGTCCCGAGGGCGGCTGCGGGGCAGCGCCGGGGGGCGGCTGGCGCGGAGCTCCGCAGGTGCGGGCCGGGCCCTGCCTCCGCGCCGGCCCCGCTCAGGAAGTGACAAGCGCATTTCCTCCCTCCTCCTCCTCCTCCTCCTCTTCTCCTCCTCCTCCGCCCTCCCCGCCCGCAGCACGGCGGCGGCGGCGGCAGGAGGGAGGGAGGGAGCGCGGCTCGGAGCGGTGCCCACAGCCGGCCCCGGCCGGGCCGCGCCGCCGCTCCGCCACCACGGTAAGAGCCGGGACCGCGCCGGGCGGGGCTGAGCCGCGCTGTCAGCCCGGGTGGGGGACCCGCAACGCCGTCCCGGGGGCGGCGGACAAAGGGCGGCGGCGGCGGCGGGGAGCGCGGCGGGCGGCCCCGGGTCGGGGGGTGTGCGGGAGCTCGGCCCGGGCCGGGCGGCTCGTTCTCGCAACGTTCTCGCAAGTTTCGCGTTCCCCGAGCCAGCGTTCGCCACCCCCGCGGCTCCCGGACACGTGCTGCGCTCCGTGCGGGCCCGGAGCGATGCTCGGCGCGGTGTCAGCGCGGGGGGTGCCGCCCCCCGGTCCCGCCGTCGGGCTGAATGCGGGGTGCCGGGCCTCGGGGCGGGAGCCGTGCGTGCACCGCTGACGCTTAGCAGCGCAGCCACCCCCGAGGAAATGCGCCGAGTCCGAACTGAGCGTAATTGGTTATGAAACAGACAGAGCGAGCTGCAGTTCGTAACCGCGAGCAGATGCGCCTGCTTTCCTTATCCAGCCCCGAAGCGCTTTCTGACAGGTTCGAACTACCCGCGGGCTGCCCAGGTAACCTCGAGCCGGGAGCATCCCAACATCCCGACCCCCAGCACCGCCGGCAGCAACGCGCTGAGCCGCGGCACCGCTGTGCCGCACCGAACCCCGTCTGAGTCGGGATCCCGGCGGGTTGGGAGCGTCACGTCCAGGCTGCGTTCCCTCCGGAGCGGATGCAGAGCGGGCAGGGTCGGGTCGGAGCAAAGAGCTGCTGCGGGGGCTCAGCCCGCCCCGTCCGAAGCGTTCCTTTGCACGTAAACCCGAAGTGAATCCATGAAAAGCATCTGTGGGGAGATCGGGGCTGTACGCGGCAGTCGGGCAGACTGTGGCACAGATCCAGCGCTGACTGAGGCTGATTTTCAAGTGTGGATACGTGGGCAAGTAACTGTGTGTGTAAATATGCAGATAGGTAAACTTAGTGATGGGATTTATGTTCCTCCTCGTTTTTCTTTCTAGTAATATTGGGTTTGGCTTTTTTTTCTTGCTCGTCGATGTGATTTCTTCTTTCCTTGCATAATCTCAGCTAAAAGAGAGGACACCCCAGGATGAGAAGTGCAGGATTGGTGTGTTCTTTCTCCCCACCCCCCCCAAATTGCAGGGCTGGCAGGAGCTGGAGGCACTCCTAATGAGTGCTAATTGGCAGCAGAGCAGGGATGCTTGCAGCCTTGGGAAAGCCCAGCCCACCAGAGGAGGGGGTTTTCCACCACGATGGTCTAGGAGCTCCTTTGGTGAGGTCTAACAGCCCATGGAACCCTCCCCAGCACCCAGCTGTGCAGGCAGGAGGGAAGCCCTGCCCCAATCCCCCCACATTCAGGTGAATTCCAGCCTAAGCAGTTAGTGGTGATTGCAAACTGTGCTTATTAGCAGGGGTACAAAGTGACCTGTGCATTACAAGTACTGCAGGTGGAGAGATGCTATCAGGTGTTGCAGGGCGACACCTAATCCCCTCCTCTGGTGCCATTTTTCACCCTTTTCCTCCATCCCCCGATGCTCTCTGTGTTCCCAAACCCACGGTGTTCTGCTGGTGATGGGGTACAGCCCTGTGCCTGCACTGCCTTGTTGGGGTTTGTGCTGCTTGACCCCGGAGCTCTGGCTCTGTGCTCTGTCAGTGTGCTGTGTTTATGAGAAAGGACTTTGCTTTTCCAAGGTCACGCTCCAAGCCTGCAGTCTGCTGGTGCCTGGCCGTTTGCTCAGCCAGCAGTGCAGAACGTGGCTCTGGGGCAGTGACCAGAGGTCCCCAGGCTGTTTTGTTTCTCCACATCTGATGGGTTGGCTGCCTTTGGAGAGACTCACTTCCCCAGTCAGGGCTTGTTCTGCTGGTGCAGGCTCTGATAACACAGGCTGGGGACACACAAACCTTCCATCGTCAACCTGTATTGAAAATTGAAGGGTAGTGACATGTATTAATTGACACATGGAATTGCTCTTGGCTTTGGGGAGCTGATCCATGACTTCTGAAGCCTCTAATGTTTGATAGGCTGGATTCACGTGGTGCCATATAGAATCGTTAAGGTTGGAAAAGCCTTCAGAGATCCCTAAGCCCAACCCATCCCACCATGCCCACTGCCCACATCACTCAGTGCCACGTGCCCACAGTTCTGGAACACCTCCAGGAATGGATATGCAAAATGAGTAAGATTTGGTGTGTTAGGTGTTTTGATTGAAACTTGGTGAAGGAAGGCACTGAATGGCACTGAACTTCTATGAGAGCCCCCAGAGCTGTGCGGGTCCCTGGGCAGCAGGTGTGCTGGTACCTGTGCCTGTTTGATTCTGTAATTGAATGTTAGTTTAAGAAATGGATGAGTGAGTGCAAAAAATGCGTTCAGGGAAAGGGTTTGGGTTGAGGTTTCCACACCTCCAACTCCATGAAATACTAAAAGGAATAACCCCGTGGCAGACTTGATCGTGGTTTTTGCTTTTGGAGGATTAAATGTAGCAGCATCAGTGGCATTGCTCCTCTGTAGCAAATGTGAGGCATTTCCTGGGCTGCATCATTCCCTGTGCTCATGGGATTTTGTGTTTAGCAGCCAAAGCTCAGGGCTTGGCCGTGCAGTAGGAGTGGGACCGGAAGGTTTCGCTCCGTGGCTGTTGCTCCTGCATCCCTCCAGCTCCCAAAGTGTGTAACGTGTAAACTGGCAAAGCATGCTGTGGCAGCTGGAAAACCTGCTGTGAGCCAGCCCAGAATGGAGCAAAAGTCCTGAGTGGGAAGGTGATGTTAGAGGTGGATGTGATGGGGTTGGTGCTTGTCTGCTAACCTTCGTGTCACTGCAGACTCGTTGGTGTGCTGGGGAATAGCTGTACACGCCATGAGATGACTTCAGGAATGTGTTCCCGATCCTATTATGGCATCCTTTTTATGATCCAGCCATTACAAATGTAATATTTTGGAAGGGACGAGATTTAATTCTATTAAATAGATGCCGAAAGCTATTATCATATGGAATATCCATTACAATTATGAAGATATAGAAAGCATTACAAGTATCCACATTTGCTTTTTGTAGCTTCTCTGCTAGTTCAGAGAAAAGATTATCTCTTTATTGGCCCATCAGTTGTGTTATGATTGAAGTTCAGTGCTGCTTCTGGGGGTGAAAGCATCGTGGTTAAAATGAAGATTTGCAGCTCCCAATGGCTTCGTTTGGGCACGGAGGCACCCAAGCTCCCATTTTCACCTGGGTTGTGCTGTTGGTACAAAGCTGCCTTTCCCCTGCAGGTCTTACATGAATTGTTGGCTTTGGGAAGGGGTCTGGAAGGGCTGCTTTGTGCCATTCCTCCTCACTGTTGGGATGAGTCAAACATTGCAAGCTTTGCTGGAAGTCCCCGGCTCTTTGCTGGGCTGCTGACGCCATGGGAGCTGTGGTGTGGCCCCGTGAAGGCTGGAGGTGTAAATTATTTGGAGCCAGTGTTTAAGAAAGCTCTATATTTAGTGCCTGCTGCTTAACATCACCCTGGCTTACTGCTGGCAACAGGCGCAGCCATCGCTCTGCTCTCTCCTGCGCACAGCACTAAAATATCCATTGATTGTCCCTTTTCTGCATCATTACTGATGTCCCTCCTGCTGTGAGGGAGACGTTTTATTATTCCCATTGTCTAAACCTCCTGTCTTTTATTTTCTACTTCTCTGCTAACCACTGGTTTGTTTCTTTGTGCACTTCTGCTCCCGTTTCTGTTTCTCCAACTGCCGATGCCAGGAGGAGCATCTTCCCCAAAAAAAGGAGAGCAGAGAAGGGTTGAAGAAGAGGGGTTACCACGGAAAGTTTGCAAATGTGAAAAAACATCACCCAAAAGACAGAACTTAACATTGAATTGCAGTCCTGTGCATTTGAAGGTGGTGTTGTGATGCTGGGGACTGTGCCACGTTGCCATGTTCCAGGAGCCGTTAGTCCCTTTGCTCAGGAGTGTAGCAGTGTGCAGTTCTCCACGAGATGCTCCATTTGTACCAGGCAACCATTGCCATTTGTGTGCTGGCAAAACTCCTGGCCCAGTGCCTTCCTACCAGCCAGGGAGCCAACGTGGGATGCTGTCGGTCCCCAGCATGGCGTTTGGGGAGGGGGCTGTGCCATCCCTGCTGCTCTGGTCCTTGGGACACAGGGACATTGCCTTTCCCCCTGATTTATGCCTGCAGGATGGGAGGAAAGGGGATGTGTGGAGAGTGTCCAGCTGCTGGAGACTCTGGGAGGAAAAATGAATGTATATTTTTTCCCTTTACTGCACATTCATGCTGTCGTAAATGACTTGGCACCAGGTGGGAAGGGAGTTGCACCCGTCCCGTCGGCTGGCGTTGGTGCCAGCTCAAACACCGCCAGACATGGCTTTCATTTCCATTTGCTGCTGGGCCATTTTTCCTATTTGCTCAGAGACAGACAGAGGGATTGGGGTTTCTGTAGTGCCAGCAGTAGTGGGGAGCATCCCACCCCGCAACCCCAGGCTCGCAGCATCCCGCCCCATCCAGCGGGACTGTGCAGAGAGCCGGAGCTGCGCCAGGTTTGGGCTATACGTGTCGCTGACACCTTATGGGAACTGAACACGTGTTGGAGTAACAGATGGGTATTATTCCAGCTTTGTGAATGTCTCCCTGAGATATTAAAAACACCGGCTGGACCTCAAATCCCAGCTCTCGTGAATGGCTCCCTGGAAGTGCTGTCGGGAGCATTCAGGTGCTGCTTGGCTTTGATGAAACGAGTAAATGCCACGAGTGGGTGTTTGCTTTGCCTCCTTCCTCCTACAGAAAGGCTCCCTTTGAGGGATGGCAAAGCATCCAGCCCCTATTCCCCGTCACAAAATGTCACTGTCCTGCCTTTACATCGGTGCTTATGGGGTTCTGTAATGAATATCAATGTCCACACCAGTGCAGATGCTCTGTGCCCATGGGGATGGCTGACCCTAGGAGAGCTCAGTCCTGCACAGAGAGGTTGTGGGTGCCCCATCCCTTTTGAGGCCAGGTTGGATTGGACCCTAGGCAACCTGCTCTAGTACTTGATTTAGTGGTTGGCAGCTATGCCCACAGTGAGGGGTTGGAACTGAATGATCTTTGAGGTCCCTCCCAACCCAAGCCATCCTATGATTCTCTCTTCTGGACACAGCATTCAGAGGCTGCCATGGGATGTGCTCCCCAGATCGGCTCCTTGGCAGCCCGCGCACGTAGGAGCCGTCTTCTGCTAACAGATTGTGGTGTATTTAATGAACCCGAGGAAAAACAAGGAATCTGAAGGCTGCGGGGCGATGCAAGTTTGCTGTTCGGTCTGCCAAATTCATGCTAATTCAGACAACTCACAGATGTTTGGCTCCCTGTGTGTTAAGGAGATTTATGTAAGATGCAGGGCTGGGAAATTCATTCCCAGTGTGCCGCAGAGCCGAGCTGGCAGCGGCCGCGCACGGGCAAAGGTTTCCTGTCCATTTCCTTTGTCCATTCCTTGCCACCAACTTTTCACTGCAACATGTCCATTGCTTGCTCGGAGGATGAGTAAAGGTTCGTCTTCAAGAGCCAGCGAGCTCTGTGAAGGCTTTTTCCCAGCTGAGGAATGATATCCCCTGAGATAGGGACGATGATGCAGTGGGGACCACAGTGAGGTGAGACCACGGCAGTGGCATTGCCAGCCCTGTGGTTCTTTCTGCTTTATGGGTTGGCCACAGGTGATGCACGATGTAGGCCAGCTGAAAGCATTCCAAACCCCGAGAATATTGTCTGCCTAATTGAATTTTTGGAATATCCTGAGCGATCGTTTTTCTGCTGGAGGCTCTGCAGTCTTACAGCTTTTACTGGTAAGAATGGAGTGGGAGGAAAAGATCTCAGAAAGTCTGGTTGTTCTCCCTCCATCATTGTGTGTACATCCAGTATCCCTGCTTTAAATCCAGATGCTTCCATCACCCTGGTTATTCAGGGACAACCAGCCTCAATCGGGTCTCCAGCTCAGCCTTGGAAAAGGGAGAAATCTGCCTTGCTTACAGTACCCAAGTCTGACAATGATGCTGGAGTTCCAAAATTCCCTGCAAGATGCCCAAGTTCTTGCTAGCACTTGGCCATGCTGTGGTTCTCTGGTTGCCATCAACACATTGCTGTTGATGTTGAAAACTGGGGGCTCTGGAGCAAGCAAGGCAGGCTGGCTGAGAGCCTTGGAGGTTTGTCACCCTGGAGCTTTGACATCTGGCTGTAAGTAGGTGGACATCATGCTGCAGAGGTAGGTATTGAGATGGGTTTAAAATGGCCTGAAATCGTTCACATTTGAGAAGTGGGTCTGTAAAAATGGCATGGTGAGGCCCTGTTTACCATCTCAGAGGTTTCAGGTTGGATATGGGAAAACGGTGTGAGAAAAAAGCAAGAAGTGGTTTATTTGTTTCTATTTACTAGAGCAGTGTCCTCCAAGCAGTAATTAAAAGTAAACCTAGGCTCTGCTGCCTTGTTCAGCATCCCTGGTTGTTAAGGTTAACAGCTGAAACAATTCTCAGTTCAGCATTTTCTCGACTTTTGGGAGCATGGCCAACACTCACAATATCTCACAGACCATTGCAAATTCTTGTCATAAATCTCACAATTGGAAAAATACAGACAGAAGGGCGAGTTGGTTCTTTGGACTGGCAGGCTGGGCTGTGGTGCTGCTTCAGCTGCTCTTCTCCAGAGACCATCATTGCTTCAGCTCCCTGGGCTCGCTTGGAAATATGCTCAGAATAAGAAGCAGACCCCTAATAAGCAATTAGGCAATGGTAGAAGGTTTTTCTCAAAGAGAACGTGCCATTTTTACAGTCCTTTTTTTTTTTTTTTTGATAAAAATCATCTTAGAATATAATCATAGGATGGCTTGGGTTGGAAGGGCCCTCAGATATCAACCCATTTCAGCCCTCTGCCTTGGGCAGGGCTGCCAGCCCCTAAATCAGACACAGCTCAGGATGCTCAGGATCCCATCCAGCCTGGCCTAGGGCACCTCCAGGGTTGGTGCATCCATTAGAGGGTATGTCTGAATGGCCTGCGTGGCACTATGCAGAATTATTGGTGGCATTTCCTACCAAAGTGGCTGGGACATCGGATGGCTCCTCTTGCCATTACTTGCTGTCATGCATGAGATCCATGCAGCAGACTGGACCCCGTGCAGTCACTGTGTGCATCCAGCTACCCCTCTGTGCCAGCAGTCCCTTGTTTTGCACTTCATGTTTGCTCTTTGCAATGACTAATTTTGCTCTCTTCTTTTCCTTTTCAGTTGCCAGGGAGGAAAAGGCAAAGTCACAGGCAGTGCCGCTTTCTTCAAGCTGAGATGTTGAGACAAAGCACCTCTGACCCTGTCCTGTCCTTTCTCTCCATCCCTTTCCGCCGTTTGTTTGTGAGGGAGTCCTTCCCCTGCCACTCCTATTCCGTAAGAGCAAGGGGGCAATAAAACTGATGTTTCTTTACTGAATTAGATGGTGTGCCATTTTCCTTAATCGCTGATTTTTTGGGGGTGAGCACTTGGATTTCGGGCTCTCCCTGACAGATGCGTGACTTTGGGCTCGAGACACCAGGACTTGGTGTCACTTTATGGCAGGGTCATTCATGGAGCATTTGGAGGCAAGGGTTGGATGGAAGGAGGCTTTTTTTTTAATTTGCTGAGCAATGTGTTTATGGTCTTGGTCAGCACCTTGGTACGTGTGGAGCTCCTGGTTGGGAGGGCCATGGTGATGGACCAGGTTGTGCCTGGCCATGGCCAGGAGTTGGACTGGGTGGTCATTATGGGTCACCTCCAGCTTGGGATATTCTACAGTCCTCTGATTTACAGTGGTGGCTCAGGGTCAGGCTTTCTGTTCCTATTGTGGCTCCTCAAGATGGGCACTGCCATATTGAGCCTCCTGGTTGTGACTTTTCTTTCTTTTTGAGGGGTTGCATTGTTCGGGGGTATTTATTCACATTTTTTGGAGGTTTTAATCTTGTAAATAAAGTCAGTGTTGACTAATGACATGGAGCAGTGAGCACCGTGTGGCCTGGCTGTGAGAGTCCAGTGAGGAAGTGAGCCCTTGCCTGGCTTTGTACAAATACAAACCTGTAAGGACCTCTTCCAAACTTGTAACGCAATAAATCAACAAGTTGAAAATGCACCTCTTGGTATTATTTGAAGTGTGGTGAGGCAGATGTGGAGCCCTGACATACCTGAATGGAATGGTGTTCTGTGGACAGACGAAGACTTGTTGTTCCTTGGATACCATCCAGCTTTTTTGTATGCTGTTTAGTGCTTTAATTCTGCTTTTTTAAAACACGTCGGTTGTCCTGTTGAAACCTTCAGGAAGATTTTTGGTTGTCCCCCCCCCTTTTAAGTCATTTGCAGATGTTGGGAGAGCTGTGTTGTGCTGGGCCCAAGTTTTGCTGGGGCTTTGCATGAAGAAATCAGGATCTGGATATCAGGAGGAGAGTGTGCATGGGGATTCTTAGTTTCCCCTTGTCCTGTTGTAATAGGACAAGGGGAAATGGTTTCCAACTAAAAGAGGGGAGATTTAGATTAGATATAAAGAAGAGGGATTCTATATAGGGGTAGTGAAGCACTGCTCGGGCTGCCCAGAGAGGTGATAGTGCCCATCCCTGCAGGCACACAAGGTCAGAGGATGGGCTCTGAGCACCTGATGGAGCTGTGGGTGTCCCTGTGCACTGCAGGGGATGGGACCAAATGGCCTTTAGAGATCCCTTCCAACTCAAATGGTTCTATGGTTGTGGCCATAGCTCTGATCTTGGCATTACTTTTCCAGTCCATGGATGACAGTTCAATCCTCTGACTCTAAACTAAGAAGAGTCTTGCCCTCTTCTTGCTGGCACTAAGGGTGTGGTAATGATAGGAGGCTTTAAGGGTGAGAAACAGAGATTCACGGTTTGAGCAACTCTAAGAACAGAAAGGAAACAAATTACTGTTGTGACTGTAGTCACAATAGTAGAGTAGTAATACAGTGAAATGCTAAAAATGTATGGGTTTCATTCCTTCCAGCTGGTAGCAGAATTTAAGGCAAAAACAGTAATAGCAACTCTCTGTTCACAGAGCAAGTGGGGACGTGGCTGGGGGGGTTGGGGTGTGCAATGCAGTGCCCGCAGAAAAGTGTATGTGGGCAGTGGAGGACGTGTACAACAAGAATTGTTTGATGGTAATTTGATGGTAGCAATAGCAATTTAACCATACTTTGCAGAATAAGCCATAGGAAATTCTTGATCTGCTTTAATATCTCTTCTGTGGCTGAGCTGCTAGTTGAAATCAGTGACGCCTATAGAAGCACATATGTGTGCTCATTGGGCAGAGGTCTTTAAGTGGAGTGGTTGGAGATGCTCTTGCTGCAGTCCTGGCTGCAGAAGGAGATTCCAAGGCAATCCATAAGCCCAATAGGTTCTTGAAAGATTGAGTGTTCAGCCTTTTGGGGGGTTAAAAAGCTCCTGGATTGTGTCACATCATGGCTGTGGCCCAAGTCTAAACTTAACCTTGACTGAAGGATGAAGATAGTTCCTTTATCTGATTGCAAATGAGGAAATACATTCCTTAAAATAATTAATGGTCCCTGAAGAGCATCTTTTTATTAGCATCTGTATGCGTGGAGAGCTCTGGTCCATAAATACCCAGCAGTTTCCTGCTCGTGGCATGGCATTTATAGGAAGACCAATGTAAATGGGTGCTGCCCTACAGCACCAGCGGGGCATGGTGGGGCAGGGCATTGCAGTGGGAAGTTTTGGCCGTGGCACAGTGATGTGGTGGTCCCCAGGGGGATGCGATGGGCAGGGCACTGTCACCCAAATGGGGCAGAGAGCTGCTGCCTGGGCTCAACTCCATGCCTGGGTGTGCGTAGTGCTCTGCTGCAGCAGTATTAATCATTACCTTAGGGAAAGATAATTATTGGTGGAGAAATTGTAGCCTGTTAATGAGAAAACGTGCTTAACTGCTTCCCGGCTGCTGGGACTGCTTGTTTGATCTGGATTTCCCCTGCGGCTGCTCACCGGCGGTGGCCTCAGTGCCTTTTGAAGCACCACAAATGTGGTGTGGGTGAGCATCCCTGCCCCGTGTCCCAAGCAGGGACCAGTGATGGAGATGGCTGGAAATGGTGCAGAGGTGGTATGTTGTGACCTAGAGGGCTTGTGGCAGTGGGAGAGGGCTCACTGCTCCCTGCTCTGGGCCCCAAGTAGGGCTTGTGTAGCAGATGGTGTTTCCTTGAGCAATATCAGCTCTGTTTTGGCAGATGTAGGTTTGGATGTCCTCAATGGCAGCCCTGCCCTGTCCGTGGCTCAGCCACGGTCGCTGATGGAGCTGAAATAGCAGGAAGAACATTCCTGATGGCTATTCCTGGTGACATTCCCCAGTGAAGCCAAGGAAGAGAAGCATGCAGGACTTGGGGTGCTGTGTGGTGCCACGTGCACGTCACTGGGGCACCACAAAGGCTTTGGAGATCCCACTGTGTATCACTGGAGGTGTTGACAGTGCTCGTGCCATTGGGTGGTCATTGGGCTGCCCGGGGGTTTGTGGTGAAGCTATAGTAAATTGTACATTATAAGGCATCCAATGGCCCAGAAGAAGCTGGAGTCTGTACCACGTGCCTTTTGGAACAGTAAATCTTTGAAAAATGTATTGATTCCCGATCCTGGCTTTGCACTCTGGCTGAACTTTGTCCTCACAAGACACAGTAGGTGATTTCTCTACCAGCCAGCTGGCCTCTAAATGAGCTACTCATAACTCCATCCCGACCTCTAATCCAAATAAACATGAAAAAGATTATTTGCAAGCTGGAAAGAGAATCCTTATCAGTTTGTAATGAGGTTTAATACTTAGCAGCGTGTTCTCAAATATTGTCCTTAAGTACTGCAATTTGGTTTTGACTGCGTGTTACAAGATAAGTGTTTCATGCTCTTCGGATCATGCAAATGGTGTTTTTGTTTGTTTGCTTTAACGGCAAGGCAACAAAATAGTGAAACAGGATTAGAGGGGCGGTTTGGGAAAAACACTGATTTCTATAATCAGATTTGAATTGCAATCTGTTTGCTTTTGCGTGGGGGTGGGTGCATGGGAGGGAATGCCAGGAGGTGAAGTAGGGTTGGGTGAGTGATTGCAGCCTCTGTGCGCTCCTCGTGCAGCCCTAACACAGCATTTACTGCCTCAGACCCCCAAGGAAATAAGTAGGGATCAAGAGGCATGGAGTGATGCTTTGGGTTTGTGGGCAGGGAGCCCTGTCCTTCCTTGCAGGAAGCTCTTTGCCTCGTTTCTTGCCCAAAGGGCTCCTTGTGGTTCTTCCAGGAACCAGGGGGTTACCAGGATGGCATGGGGCAGGAATCAGGGAGTTATTGGAGTGATGTGGAGCATCCAGACGGTTTCATAGGGGTAATGATGCTGAAATGGCTTTGTCTGCAGGAAATCTGTTCTTGGTTGATCTGCTGGCAAGGGGGGTTGCCTCTGGGACTGTAGTGAGTGCTGCTTCCAAGCTTCAGAATCTCCATACTGAGATGAGCTGATGGGTTCCCTTTTTCAAAAAGCAGAATTAGGAGGGCTGTGTGTTTATCTGCCTGCAACACTCCTGTTCCTCCAGCACTCCTCGTGCACACTGTGTGCTCCCAACAGCTCCTGCAAGTGCTGCTGCACGAAATGCCTCCGAGCTAATCGGGCGCCCAGGAACGCCAGCAATGCTTAAGAGCCTAAAATAAATACTCCTTGCCTCGCTCCTAGGGCAACCCTTTCACCCCGTGCCTGCCCGTTGCACTCAAGCCAGGGGTTGCTCCTCAAACCTCACCTGACTCCTCATCCTCTTCCTTCTGCCCACAGGGAGCCGCCGGCCGCAGCCCCCGCTGCTCTCAGCCCTTCTGGGGAAAAATGCACTGAAATGGGAGCTTGGCCAGAGCATGGCTGACAGTGACCTTTGCCTGGACTCTGATGGACTCCAACGCAGGACTGCATTACCATGGTGATGATCTTAACCAAAACTCGGGAAAACAAAGGTGCTGACTCTGTAACATGCAGGACTGAGCTGGTAAGCATCGTGACGTTGCACTTCACAACTCTGCTGCTTTTGCCATCGCTTTACTGTGGCTTTAGGATGCTTTTTCACCCTGCAGGGTTGGATCTTGAGATGGTTTTCTTGCTTGTGCTGCACTGGTTTCTGCTGGGGTTGTTAATATCCAAAAAGCAGGTGATGAGTAAATGATTGGAGTGCTGTGGCTGTTGCATATGTGCATTTCAGTGAGCACACAATAGAATCAGCTGTGAATAACACGGGTTAGAAGTTGCTTTGCCCGGAGTGAACAGATGCTCATGATTAATAGGAGGATGAGCAAGTGGGGAGCAGGATTAAGTGGGAGATGGAGAGGTCGGGGCTGTGTTACCTAACAGTCCTGCTGGCAGCACAGAGGGATGCAAACCCAAACCAATGAGCAGGTAACAGAAAAAATGGGGCAACAAGTGGGGAATGATGCTGAAAGAGGCAGCATTATGGTGGGGTGGAGGGTGACACAGAGCTGTCTGGTAACACCCAGGGGGGGCTGTTGGGGTTTTCACCCCTGTCCTGCAGGACGAATGATCACAGTCTGGAAAGGAAGGAGACAGAAAACTATACTGTGCAGGGAGACACAGATAGGGATGCTCAGGAAGCATCTGGCAGGATGAGCCATACATGGGCATTTGGAGCATAAAAGTGATGGTAATGCCCAAGTTCACTGAGGATGGAGCACTCTGTGAGCTGGCTTCCTGGGCTGGTAGTGCAGGCTGCTGAGCACCCCATGGTGTGGGTGGAGGGGTTCAGCTGCAGGAAGGAGAAGAGCAGAAGCTCTTGTGTTGTGCGGGATGGGCTGCATAGCCACACCACAAAACTTTGCCCTCCCTTGTTTGCTGAGTGCCTGCCATGGTGCTAGTGCTGTGTCAACAGGGAGTAACTGTTCTGGTTATACAGTTTGCATTGCCAGGTTGTCCAGGCAGTTAAATTGAGGCAGATGTTCAAAAGAAGTCTGATCCAGCAAAGAGAGCAGCAGTTTTTATGTTGGCAGAGAGTAGAACTCAAAGGCAATAAGCATCTGAGCAGCAGGCACCATCACCTGCTGGAGGATGGTGGGCTCGCTGGCTGGTTTGTATCCCAACATGGTCAGGCTGAGCACTTATAAAATAGCAGTTGTACTCAATAGGGGAGGTATGTCATTTGGAGATGTTCCTCTTCCTTCCTCATTTGCAGGCAGTCACTTTGGTCTCTGAACAAAGCCTGCTTTGTGGTAGTAACGGTGATGGAAGGATGGTTAGACCAGATGATCTTGTTGGTCCTTTCCAACCTTGTGATTCTCTGATTCTATGCTGCTCTGGGGGCTGGCATGTCTGTGTTTGTTCCACTTTGGCCACTCTTCAGAAACAGCTGCATGCCCTCCTTGTCTCCTGATCCATTTTGCCTTCTTCTTAATAAGATGGGGCCTGGCAGAAAGAGATCTCTTTACTTCACCTAAAAAGGTGGTACACGCTCCAAAAAATGTAACCTACCATTACTTCCCATCTCCTCATCTGCACAAATCCCTGCTTTCTGCCTCCACATCCCTCTGTGTTCACTATTGGCAGCCTACGAAGTGATTCCATTGGTTTGTCAGCAGTTGGCACAATCTTGTTTTCATTATCATTATTATTATTTGCGATGTATTGATGAGGAATCAGGAGAGAAGGTGCAAATGCAGTGGCCTAATGGTGGATAAAACACGACTATGGCAGTGCAGATGGATGTGGAGCGTGTGCTGGTGCTTTGTTCAGATGAAGTAAGGCTCGTTCAGATGGGGTGGAGTTGCCAGGACAGACACTTCAGAAGCAGAATGTGGATGTTTTGTGGGATAACAAAAGGACGATCAGTATGAAAGTGTGTTTTTGCAGACATAGCTGAAATGGCATGTGGCTCCAGATGACATATTGATTTATTGTATATAAAACTGTCCATGCCCATTTTTAGAAGTCTGATGATTTGTCGCACACAGTCAAGAGGAAAATTCCTGGGAAAAGAAAAGAGCATAAAAAGCCAACTGGGCTTATTTAGTGCCCATATAATGGATTTTCCCCTATTTTTAGTGCATGTTGGCACCATCCAAGTGCAGAATCCTCAGAAAAAGTGCCGGGGTGCCTTAGAAACACACTGTATGTTTAGGCAAAACACAAAGCAGCTCTGTGTCTAGATGGGAGGCCTGCATGAGCATGGAAGGGCTTCAACCTCCACTGTTTCACTGCTGCCCAGCTCCCAGTTTGTGTTCTGCAGAGCTTTGGGTCCTGTCGGCAGGGACAGCTGCAGGACTGATCATTTGCAAGCTCAGGCCCTGACAGCAGCTCTCCACATCAAGTAGTTAACCTCAGTTTGGCTGAGGGAAGATGGAAGGTGGATGATGTGCAGGCTGGGAGATGAGGCCTCACGCTTGGGGTCTGGCTGTGGATGCCCGAGCTGAGGATGCAGGCTGGGTGTTTTCTAACACATTGATTGAGCCTGCTGGAAGTGAATAGTTTTTCTGGTTGTTTTCAGCACACTCCAAAGATGAGTCAAGGACCTACCCTCTTCTCTTGTGGCATTATGGGTAAGTAGCAAAAACTTCTGCCCGTATTTCTTTCATCTCCGCTCCTGGATCCTTGGCAATGTGTGGGAAGATGTCCTCATCTTCTGCACCTCTCCTAAAAATGCTGCCCTGCAAAGCCTGGGGTGCAGCCCACTCATGCCCTGTGCCTTGGGGTTCAGTATTGCCCATCCCGCTGCACCAGTATGGGAAGCCCCTGCCCAGGGGTGATTTGCTGCCCTGCAGTGCTGAGCGCATTGCTGGTCTCCTTTTCCATTGCTTTCTGTGCATCTTTGAAGTTATTCGTGCAGTTGGGATCATAAGCATTTTGGGTCTTAGATTGCGTTTCTCATGTGTTCGAGTATCCATCCCTCAACTACAGCTCTTGACTGTTTGCATGTATGATACGTATGATGAATATATCAGTATTATAACTAAAAATATTCTTCCTTTTGGCGCAGTGTGTATGGACAGACCTCAGGCAACAACAGAAGCATCTTTTTTGCCTTTCACAATAACATGAGCTGTTGTATGTGATGTTTAATACCGTTTTTGGCATAGCTTGCTACCAACTATCTTGCTGAATGGCTAGTGAAATTGATGGGGTTTTGGTGCGTCAGCCCAGGATCCTGAAAAAACAGTAATGCAGGAGGATGTGCCACTATACAGTGCTTTTTGGGTTTTGAAACGGGGAGCCAGTCCCTAGGCGAAGTCTCAAATCCCAATTAAAATTGTAGGTCAAGTTTGAGCCAAGCTACTTGGTATGAAAGCCAATGCTTTGCAGACAAAGCGACTGCCCCTTTTCTTCGTGGACACAACTCTCATTAGCGTTAATGGGAGCTGAGCACATGCATTGAGAGGAGATATTTCCCAAGCTCTCCAATACTTGAGTTGTTTGGAGGAGGGGGGAAAAGATGGAAAATGTTTTGATTTTTTTTTTTTTTCAGATGAAAGTCACAAGCTTCAATGTCAAGAACGGGCAGAAACAGTCCGTTCCCTTTCTCCTGTCTGTCAAAAATGAGTAAGGAACAAAGAAATCCAATCGGATGGTTTTGTTTTGTGCCATGGCACTGGCAGGCTCTTCCACAAATATGAAGAGTCTAAGCCTAATTGAAAATCAGCTTGGTGTTAATAGCTTTTACAAAGCCGTTTGCGTCTTCCTAGCGCCGCGCTGGTCTTCCTTGGCTGCCAAATTATCCTGTTTCCAAGGGAACCTAATCTCACCTCCTTGACCACAGCTTACCATGTAATTGTCTTTGTCATGCCCAGTCAAGAGGAGTGAGTCTCCGGTGTACGAGAGAGCACTGTTTGGTTTGTGCTTAATTTCAGGCATCTTTCCCAAACGCTCTTCTTGATGTCTTCAAACTTGGGCCACGATCACATACCAACTCTGTGCTGAAACTTGCTGATGCATTTTAAAAGAGTTGCAGGGTTATGATGTCACTGAATGTGCAGTGAGTGAATATTTCAGGCTGAGAGCAAAAGCATGGAAATGAATGAATCCAGGAAGGTTGGATCAGCCCACATCAGCCCAGGGATGTGTATCTACAGGAGGGGTAGGAAGAAGCTGGCCAAGGCCCCAGGTGTGCACCCCATAACCAACAAACCCTGCTAGCCTGAGCTGGCACATGCTTTTGTGCAGCATAAGGTTGGTTTGAGTGTCACTTGCTTCCTGCCTAATGTGACTGCCAGAGACACTGGGGCTGGCAATAGCAGAGAAGATGCCAGGTACAGGGGCTGCCCCCGTTGCCAAAGCATGTATTGGTGTCCTTGGGCCAAATGTAAAGAAGTCAAAACATGAACGTGGCAAATGCCTCAGTATGGCACGCCAGCAGCATCACAGTGAGCAGCACAAGGCACTCTGCTGATACCAGTGCAGGCAAAATGTCCTGAGAACCACTTTGAATGGGAAAGGAGTACATTGATGCCCACACCTTTTAAATGTAAGCATTTCATAAGGTACTGAAGTCTGGGAAGATTCAAAAATCAATTAAAACTTTAAAAAAACTGAATATATTAGTAAGCTTTATTAAAGACTTGGTGTGTCAGATGGTGCAAAATTTGATCCACTTCTCAAGGTGAGCTAAATATTTAGATTTATGTGTGGGATGATATCAGTATTACTAAGAAGACTGTTGCACTTACAGTTTTAGGCATTTCATCTTGATTCTTTTTCCCAGCAAAGGGCTATTTAGAGAACAAAACTCATTTCCTTTTTCCCTTCTGCTTGATGCGCCCTTAAAACACCTGGGAGTAAAGGAATTATCCTGTTACCAGATGGAGATCTTTTTCCTTTTCTTGCCATGCATTCTCCACCCCTGTGAAAGTATCAGTGGCTGTGCTAGAGAAGGCAGCCAGCATTTTAGAAAGTTTGGGTATTATTTTTGGCTTGCTGCATTGAGAATTTTCTGTCTGTGGGTGGATGGCAGTGGAAGATTTACACTATTTTAACAATGCCCTGGTGATATTGCCTGACTTCTCTCTAAGCAGGTATGTAAGAAGCACTTGGCATCTCAATCAGTAGCAGCAAGCAGTATTCTTTTGCAGCCCTCTGCAAGAAGCTTAGTGGATTTGTAACAACAGCCACAGCCTCACGTTCTCTGAGAGCAAGAAGTAATCTTTGACCTGACATCCTAACTGTTTATTGAGCCAGGTGACTGCTGGTGAGAGAGAGGTGATGAGGAATGTTTTATTTTTACTCTATTTTTACTTGTGTGGATTTTCCCCTTGTCGTATGGCTATTGACACCAAGCACGTGTCACCTGGGCACGTTCTCAGGCAATAAGTATGGGCCTGTTGTTTGCATTTCCCATTGAAGCAAAGCTCCACACATCTTATTTTAATCTTATTTGTGCCATGGGAAAGCAGGAGGGCTGTCAGGCTCCGTGGCGCTGCCATCAGCTAATTACAACCATTAAATTTGTTCCACGTTTAGGAATCATCTCTTGAACTTAAAAAGGAGGCAGCGGAAAATGCAAACTGCCTTTTCATGTTGCACAGAGGCTGGGAGACCGACATTCGACGTCAAGAACATGTGAAAAAGGGAACTGGATGCACATCCAAAGGAAGAGAAATGTTTGGGTTAGGATCCAAATGGAGTTTATCTGCCAAAAAGGAGGAAAAAAAAAAAAATTGATTGAAACCCATAATCACTTTACAAGTTGCTGTAATAAATTATGTATGAATGTAAATTATTTCACAGGAAAAGAACGTAGGGGAAACTTGAGCAGAAGGATCATGCATTATGTATAGAAAGGAGCCGTAAAAATATTGCAGCAGCACATTTGTGTCGTGGTAAAGTTGTGTCAGCGTTTTGATTTGATGCCTTTCTCCGTGGTGAGGAGCTCGGTTGTTCAAGTTTGGGTGCCCAGATCTTGGTGTAAGGGCTGCGGTGGTTGCTTCAGGGCTTACTGAAGCTAAAGCATAGAGGGAGGGCATTGTTCAGACACCTCTTGAGCACTCACACTTGGCAGAGAACAGCCAGGTCTCCTCTCAGCCTCCTTTTCTCCAGACTGGACAACTGAAATGCCTCAGCTTCTCCTCACAGAAGTGCCCTGCAGGTGTTACATGCTTTTCTGGAGCTCATGGACAAGGGACCTGGCAAGTTGCAAGTTCTTGTGTAGCCTGTGCAAAATGTGGAGCTCAACGCATGGAAATGTGCCTATAGTGACCTGGATGCCTTCGTCTGATGAGAGCTGCTTGTGCAGAGATCTTAGGGATGCTTTGAGGATGTCACCAGTCCCCATGGGTTTGGAACAAAGCTTCTGAGAGCCTCGTGACCCGGACCTCTGTGCTTGTTTGATGTGATAGAAGTTGCACAGGGAAAAAGATGGATGTTCAAGGCTGTGTGCCAGACAGGTGTCTGGCTTGTGAGAGGAAACAGCAGGATTTTGCCCCGGAGGAAGTTTAGAAGTAGATAGCGGTGTTTTAAACCTGATGCCTGATAAATTCATCCTTGTTTCATCGATGGGCATGTTCAGCAAGGGGCTGGAAGCATTTAGTTCTGCAGTTTCAAGTTAAAATCCAAAAGGAAGAGGCCCAGGCTATTTTGTCTGAGGACACTGACCACCAAGAAGGACCCATTTAAGCAGGGAAGTGCCCCACGTGCTGTATCTACATCATGCCTTGGTTGTGAATGCCTTTCTATCGTTTTCTGATGGGCAAAGAGTGCTCTCCAGCAAAGCCGTTTATTTCTGAACTGAGGAGTTCACATGATGGATTTTGCCCTGGAACAAATTGCTGCCTCTGGGTAAACCAAGCTGAGGTTTGTAATTTAAGAAACTTAATACATGCTTAACCGCAGCAGTATTAATGGTTCCACTGCAATTATTGTTATCAGCGCTCTCAGGATGTGAATCTTAGTCTTAAAAAGTTGAGCAGAAAAACAGACTTTTTTTCCTCATAAGTGGCTCCCAAGTCTTTTAATTACACCCTCAATGCTTAGATGATCCCTGTTTTCAATTTGTTATTCTGTTAGCATCACTTTGCATCCGAAAAAGACCACATTCTGGGTTATTGTAGGGCTTTGCATGGGGTGGTTTGTCCTGGGGGGCAACAGGAGAACAGAGCACCCCATGCATGTGCATCTCCTGGATGGCAGCTGCCCTGCCAGAGCCCCAGCTTCCTTCAGCACAAGCTGAGCACAAAGGAGGAAAGCAAACAATAACCCAAAGTTGTCACTCGGGATAACAGTATGCTTGCAATTTTCTTTGTGATTTGTTTTCTTTTTTTGAAGGTTTACAGCTGTTTGTGCAGAAGTAATGTCGAAAGAGGAAGGTATCCTGTATCCTCTTGAACAAGCTTACCAAGGCCTTTTGTAAAACGTGACGTCTGGGCATGGGGGTCATGGCAGCTTGCCATAAAAAATTAGCTTCTATTTCTGTTTCTTTTGTCTGCTGACCTGACCCGAGAAATCTCTCTGCTGGCAGCATAATAAGGGGGGAAAATAATAAAGATCTAAACATAGATGTAATTGTTTAGCACGGATTTCTCACTTCTCATCGTGCTTTTTGAAATGAGGACAGCAGCGGTTAAGGCACGGCGCGGTGCAGCGCAGGGCTGCTGGGGGATGGTGGTGTCCAGGCAGCTGCTGGCAGGGGGAAATGGGGAAAGGAGCCAAGAGGGGTTTATGGGGTATCAGCTTGCAGGGCCCCAGGTCTGACCTCCCAGCTGGAAGTGGGCATTGATAGGAAGCGGTCTGTGCTGTGGCATCTTTCCTGCCATCAGGCTGTACCTGCAGCTGCAGGCTGGGCACGGCTTTGAGTTGATTTATCTAAATGGAAAAAAAAAAAAAAAACCTTAAAAAAATTCTGTACCATTTAGATATGATCACATGAAACTTTGCAGCGACGGTTAGCTAGCACGGTTTGCCTCCCAACAACAATAACAGTTACCAGAGAAGGTCTATTGGTGGTGATGACTTTTTTCCATTGCAGCAGCCAATGGTGCAGCCCTACCATGGTTTTCCTGTTGAGCATCAGCGGCGTGTTTGTACAGAGCCCTGCTGGCCCCAGCAGCCCGTGACAAGGAGCCCAGCCCTGATGGTCCTCCTTTCTTCTTTTATAGTCAGGGAACCATGTGTGTGAATGAGATCATCGTGCTTAATCCTCTTTTCACATGGTCATCGCTGGGATCTCTACATACAGCTGGTTTGCTGTTTCCCCATGTCCACGTGGATATTAGGAAAAATTTCTCAGAAAGAGTGGTAATGCATTGGCACAGGCTGCCCAAGGAGGAGTGGGGTCACTGTCCATGGAGATGTTCCAGAGCCGTGGGGATGTGGCACTGAAGGATGTGGTCATTGGGCACGATGGGGGTAGGATGGGGTTGGGCTTGGGGATCCTAAAGGTCTTTTCCAACCATCATGATTCTCTGGTTCTGTGAAGTGGCATTTGGCCCATTGCTGTACACATTTTGAATGCAGTTAGAAACCATTGACTTGGGAGCCACAGGTTTCTCAGAGCTTTGCGCAGATCCCCAAAGCCCATCTCATAAAATGAATGCCTTCACGCCATCCCCTGAAACCTGCAGATTTGAAAGATCAATGCAAAATGTGCAGAACTGGTGGGCACAGCAGCACGGGTGACTGGGGGGATTGGCATCTGGGCCAAAGCACTAGGAAACCCCAGTTTGGGGGGAAGGATGGGAGGTGGGCATCTAATACAGTATCAGCCAGCACAATGATTGTTACTTGATTGCTCTAGTTTCTGTTAGACATGGTGTCTTTGGCTAGCTGTTGGATATCAGGGGGAAATTCTTTACTATGAGAGTGGTGAGGTGCTGGAACAGCTGCCCAGAGAGGTTGTGGATGCCCCATCCCTGGAGGTGTTCAAGGCCAGATTGGATGGGGCCCTGGGCAGCCTGGTCTGGTATTAAATGGGCAGGTTGGTAGCTCTACTTGTGACGGGGGTTGGAGCTTCATGATCATTGAAGTCCCTTCTAACCCAAGCCATTCTATGCTTCTGTGGCTGTGGAAGAGGTGCTCAGAGCCTTAGTGTGGATGAAGTTTTATTGGCTTCACTGGAGCAATGCTGTTTCAGCAATTAGCAAGCAAGACAGCCCAATGGGCATACGGCTTTGGCATCCTGTAGGCTCCGATGTCCTGTGTGTATTTCTCTGCCCACAGTGGTGGCCACAGCCTCTGCCATGGGGAAGCCCCCAGGTCCATCTCAGCCCGGTGTTGCAGCAACTTTGGGTTTGCAGCCCCGACTTTGGGTTTTTTTTGCACCTCCCAGTTCACATTGCTTGTGGAGTCTGAGATGAAAGGAAAGCATCCGAGGCACGATCTACCCCAGAGATATGGCAACGACCGTGTCATTTCATAATGCTGGATGCCTCTTAGCCAGTCTGGATATTCAAAGGCAAATTTCTATCATCTTCTAGCAGTTTTGCTCCTGCTACAATTTGTCTCTCTCTCTCCATCTATGCCACAGCAACCATTGTGCTGGAGGTTCGGAAAACCATATTCCGAGCGTTAATTAATTTGTACTGCAAAAACGTCCCATATGCTACTCTTTGTTTATGCACGTGGAAAGCGAATCACAGAATCAATTAACGCTAATGCCTGTGGGTGTGTGTGTGTGTTTTTATCATTTCCGAACCAGAAAATGACAGATGGGGAGACCTCAGCAGGAAATGTCCACTGCAGATTGAGCAGCCGGGCACCAGCATCTGGGACTGCCTGGCCGACAAGGGCGAGGAGGGCACGCTGTGGCCACGGGAAGCCACCAGCACCTGCTCGGTGACCAACCTCATCAAAGAGCTCAGCCTCAGCGATCCTCACAGCAGCAACCCATCGGCGCCGCCCAGCAAGCGCCAGTGCCGCTCGCTGTCTTTTTCGGATGAAATGTCCAGCTGCAGGACATCATGGAGACCTTTGGGCTCCAAGGTCTGGACACCGGTTGAGAAGAGGCGGTGTTACAGCGGGGGGAGCGTCCAGCGCTACTCCAACGGCTCGGCCACCATGCAGAGGAGCTCCAGCTTCAGCCTGCCGTCCCGCTCCCATCCTCTGGCCTTGTCCTGTGACCACCGTGCGGGCTGCCCGCCGAGGAGATCGGGGGCTGGAGGTGACAGCTGGAGCCCTGAGGGCGGCCGGGCGGACATGCAGCGCTCCCTGTCCTGCTCTCACGACCGCTTCTCCTCCTCGGAGCCCGGCCCGCCCTCAGCCAGCAGCACGCCGGCCTCCACACCGCAGCTGGGCCGCCGTGCTGGTGGGCTGTGCCGCAGCCGCTCGCAGCCCTGTGTCCTCAATGACAAGAAGGTGGGCGTCAAGCGGCGCCGGCCCCAGGACGCACAGGAGCCGCGGCCATCACTGGACCTGGCCAAGATGACACAGGTAAGGCTGGGAGCTGGGCATGGCCTCCCTCTTCCCTGTGTCATATCCAGCTCGTGCTGCGCCCCAGCAGCAGCGCAGGGCTTTGTACCTATAGCAGCTCCACTTTTATGTTCCAAGCAGTGGTTTGCTCTGTCTGTGCACCATTGGTTGTTCGTAACACCGCATCAGGTGAGGCTGAGAAACATCCTGGTGTTTTCACTCCTCATCATCCCATGGAATAAACGCGTTTGTTCCCCCTTCAGGGATGTGATACTTGATGGCATTTCGTGCCTGGCTGCTCAATGGGTGTTCAGATGAGCTAATTTGTGCTGGAGGATGTGATTAGTGTTTCCTCCTCCAGAAGAGCTTAACAGATAAAAGGAGTCAGAGAATGACGTGTTGGGGTAAATGTGGAGGACAACGCATGGCACTGCAATCATCTTTTTGATAAACCATGCCAGTAACATTTAATATGCTGAGCTTATTTCATTAGCTAATAAGCTGGACGGGCAGCGAAAACAACTGACACTTGTTACTGCCTTTTACTAGCTACAATTGGCATGACTGAAGGCCCTCTCATTTCCTTGCGTTGGTGGAAACGTTTCTAAAACACACCCAGCACAGCACTGTGGTTGGCAGCAGGCTGGCTCTGAACGCTTTGTCCTATCCATAGAGTTCTCACCCTGGATGAGGAGATGGAATGCAGTTTAGCCATCTACTTTTCGTCATGCCTCCCCCACTCCAAGTTCTCTCCCAGTGAGCAGCCACTTGTTGCTTCACTTGTATTGCAGGGCAGAATCTCCTACAGGCCTGGGTGGGAGTTTTGTGCAGCGTTGAACCTGTTCAGTGTGTCTTGCCATTGGAACTGCTCACCTTCAAGGGGAGCTGACAGCGCTTGTTAGCGTAGAGATGTTCACAAGACCTTTCAGGATTAGACCAAAGTGTTGAATGATTTGTAAAGGCCAATGAGCGGATGGATTACTGCACGTGTGCCCCATCTGCATTTGCTGGAGTGGTTGGTGGTGAACAAAGGGAAGAGATAAAAGACACAGTACTATTTTTATTCCCAGAGCTATTTTGAGAGCCCACACGGTGGTTACCGTCACAGAGTGATGCTTGTGCTGTGGTGAGATGAGCGAGAAATGGTTTCGGCAGTGCGGAGGAGAACCAACTGCAGGTTCAGGTACTGGTAGGAGGAATACAGGCAAGCAGAAGGGAGCAGAACTCAAAGAACATGCCAGCCCTGTTGCAGTTTTCCTGGCAACGAGTGCTTTGGGCTGTTGAAGTCAATGCAGAGCAGACTGTGCTCAGAATAGTGTGGACCATCCTCCTCAGGTCACAGCCATGGCAGGCTTTAATCTCTTCTTAAAAAAACAAATGAGTTTATCTTTCGTAGAATACACCCACAAAGACCATCATGTCCAACCTCCAGCTTCACACAGGGCCACCCAAACCCAATGTCTGAGAGCAGTGTCCCATCACTCCCTTTTCCTGATATCCAACCTGAACCTCTCCTGACAGTTGATAAATAACCTGAAACTGAACCTCCCCTGGAATCTTTGAAAATGCCTATGATGCAATTATTTCTTTTTTTTCCCAAAGGCTCCTGGTGATTTCCTGCTCTTTAATTGACAACATTTGCAAAGGAAGGGCTGGAAAGGGGAGAGTGGCAGGTGGAGAGGCACTCCCAAAAACATCCATCCTGCCCTCCTACTGACAGACCGACCAAGGGCTCAGGGCATCATCTGCAGGTCCTGGTGGTGCCAGCCCTCCCCAAATTTCAAAAGAAGTGCTAAGGGATCTAACAAATCCCAGCCTGTCAGCTAAGCTTGTGAACCACACCAGGGTATATACCAACACATGCCCAAATTAGGACCCACAAGAATCTAAGATGCACTTTTGGAAGATGGCAGGCCTTGGTGCCTGCTGGCTGCAGTGCTAGGGCTGCATGAAAGGTTTGGAGCCCACTGGTTTTCCAGACCACGGGGAGCTGGGCCACCAGCTCCCACAGGCCGTGGTTGCATTTGCTCATCCTGCAAGCATGGCTGCAAAAGTGAAACAAAAAAAGAGAAATGGGGGCAGCGCGGACAAAGGGTTGCGGTTATGAAATAATGCAGATGCTAAAAGCAGCAGTGCGTCACCGTACTGAATGTGTTTGGTAATGGAATTGCTACAGAAGGGATGCTGATAGTGCCACAGCAGCTGTTTGGCAAGTGAGGGGCTGTGAGAGAAGCAGAGGGGGAGCAGCTGTTCCCTTCCTGCAGGAAAGAACAGGGGAAATGCCCCTACGTGGTCCCAACCCGTAGGGAGCTGGGATGCTTGGAGTGAAGCTGAAGAGCAGACTGAGCTCTGAGCAGAGGATGTCAGAGGTGTCCCTGGGTGTCTGCACCAGGTGCTGAATGGTGCTCATAGGCCTTTGCCCAAAGGTGTCACGTGTGCGTGTCACATTTTCCTTGCACTGGATTTGCCTGAAGTTGCTGGACTCCAACTGCAAAGTTAACTGATTGAATTGTCCTGGGAGGCCTCAGGGCAGAGTGAGCTTCTCCGTCAGCTTAACCAAGGTGGATGTTTGTCAGCTGGGAGGCAAAGCAGTGGAGGCTTTTTGCAGGGAGATTCTGGTTGAGCCTGCAGAGCTTCCCTTTCCCTCTGGACACCAAGCCTGGGTGCACGTATCATTTGTGTAGCTTTGGCTTTGGACTCAAGCAAGGGCCCAAGAATGACAAAAATCAGATCACTCAGTGCAGCTCGATTCCTTGAAAACCTCAACCATAAGGAGTATGTATTTTCTCTGGCTCCTGTACTCTACCTCAAAACATCCTCCAAGCCTGAAAAGCCCTGCCTGCACAACCTGCATTGCCCAGCTGCCCTCCAGCACTGGATCAGAGGAGTGCAGCTGCCAGGACGGCTCATGCTGCTCAAGCAGCAGTACCATCAAGGAAGGAAGCCCCCGTGCTGGTGGCACCTCCTCCCCACACATCGGTGCCAGCTTTGTGGCCAGGCTGCTGCTGGCTGCTTCCCATGCGTTGCTAGCACAAACAAACAACGTGGCCATCACCACAGAGCCCAAGGAGCCGGCCCTGTGCCTGTCCTCATGGAGCAGGTCTGACCCACGCAGGGTTGGCTGCTGAGTTTGAGGAAGCGGGGCTGCAGCTCTGCATGGGTTGCAAAAGCAGACTTGAGGAAAAAGCAGTTCTGGGGGCTGTGCACAGGATGGGGTTTTCCTCATTGCTTACTTGGGGTATGGAAAGTTTTTCACCCGAAAGCCGTCTCCACGTGGGAGGACTGGCAGGGAGCAAGATGAGGCAGGTTATAGTGAGCATTCTTGCCTTTGGTGGGGCCGGATTTTGGGGTGTGAGGCACTGTCTTGGAGCCCTCCTCAAGAAGGGAATGCCACAAAAACCAACTGGTTCCTCTTGGGAGACACTGTGGTCAGTGTGCTTGAGAAAGCCACGCAGATTTGGGTGTTGGGATCAGTGTTCCCTTAGGCAGCTTTTAATGACTCTCAAGCAATGAAAGTGGTTGGGTGATTTGAGATAAAGAGCAGAAAAAAATGGCAAGGGGTCCACGTTGCTGCACGTTTTCTCTTCTCTGGCCTTAGGGGAGGTAGAAATGGCTTAAAGGCATTCATTTCACAGCTGGGGAAACTGAGTCTCACCAGCAGAGCCGGGGACCAAACCCAGCTCCCAGATCAGCATCCAGCTCTGGCAGAGCATCAGTTAATTCTTTGCTCGTGCTGGTAACCACATGTGTTTATAGACCATAAACCCAGCACCATAATCAAAATAAGAATAATTTGACCTGAAATAAATGTTTTCTTCATACCAAGAGGGATACCTAGTCCAGGCAGGAGGCTTTGAGGCAGGAGGGGAGTGAGCTGCTCCTGGAAGCAATTACATGGCCACATAGCTGGGCTAATTAAGAAAGGGATCTAAATGTTAAAGTTCTTCTGGGAGGGAAAATGCTTGGAAAAAACATTGCCTTTAATTCCTCAAGCACTCATTGCCTGTTTTTGTCTATTCTTTCTGCATTTTCCTTATAAAGAAGAGGTGGACTTACGTTGCTCATGTACTGGTACAGCACCAAATCAGAAAGGCATCAGCGTTGGGCAGAAATCAAACCCTGAAAATTACTGTCCTTTGATACAAAATGGTCAGAATCATATTTTTCCATGGGCGGTGTGGTCTCTCCAGCACCTTTTCTCAAAGCATTGGGTGGGTGCAATAAAAGATGCAGGAGATGGGTGATGTTGCAGGGTCTCAGGGTCCAGCCACGCTCCTGCTGGGCCGGCGGATGGGCAGGATTTGGGGCAGCACTGCAAAACTTCACTGCAGCACAGACGTTGATTCATGCTGTGCCGTTTGACTCATCCACAGAACGCCGAGCCAGGGGCCGGCCCTGGTGTTGCCGTATGTGCCGAGCAGATTGCTTTCCTTCACACAGGCTCTGGAGAGCTGCAAGGGAGACAAAACACGTCTGTCACAGCGATCGCAGCGGCCCTGGATCAGAATCTGAAATCATCCTTGGTAATGGCAGAATGGGTCCTTGCTATCTTTTGCCCGTTCTGCTTCCTGCTTTGTAAGATGTTGATACGGCTGTTAGTACGAGATGTGAATTTGTGTTAGCACATTTCCAAACGCAGCTATCCTTTTTAAACTTGTTGTTGGTTGTTTTTTTTTTTCAAGTGGCACATCTATATATATATTTGTTTAGCTCTCCCTGCAGCATGCAGCCCTGGCCTGAAAGTGGAGGTGGCCCCGTGTCCAAGGCAACGTGCCATGGGAAGATGGACATCTTCCTGGTACATGCTTTGATACCTCCATCACAGCAGCAGTCAGATGCGATAACAGCGAGCTGTTCCTGGAGGGGGCACAGAGGAAACCTTATTGCTCTCTACAACTCCCTGAAAGGAGGTTGGGGCGAGGAAGGGGTTTGAAGGACCTTGTTCCTGAAGCTGCTTGTCCTGATGGGGTGCTGGTGTGTTTGTGCCATGTACAATGGGGCTATTCACAGCGCTTGCTGGC